TGTATGTAATATGTTACACACTATAGTAAAATATTTGATGAGCACCAACTGAACGTCAAGAACTATTATCCAGAGATATAAAATATAAGAAGTAATTGATATTTAGGAGTAGTAACTAAGCAGCATAATACACAGTGTGGGTTTTAATAAAGAAGAGACGGATGTACCACCTTTGACAATGAATGTGCTGTGTTATGTACTACAATGAGAAAATACAGCGCCAAGGTACTGATGATAATCCTTTCAGCCTTCTGTCCTCAGTGCCTGTGCTATGAGCTGTGGTAGGGAACCTCAGGTGACTCACATTCTCCTCAAAATATCTTCAAAACAAGATGAAAAACATTTATTCAGGCTTGAACACAGATGAAGGAAGTAGAAAAACAAAAACAAAAGCCATTGCATATGGCTGATCAAACATACTTAGTTTTTCCACATCAATTCAGGACTCCACTGAATTATAATTTTTGAATTTACTGATAAAATTTTTTCAGATTAGAACTGAAATTCTTGCATATCTTGATTAATAACAGAAAAACGTTTAAGGAAAACATTTTCTATCAGGAGAAACATATGCTGTAATATGTGTACTTAGCTTTCAGCTTCAACGTGGCAGCCTAGAGCCACGTAATGTGCTGAATTAAAATAATCTAAAAGAAGAACATATTTGTTGCAACCCCTGCCCTGTTTCTAGGTTACAATACGGCGATATACAACCTTTGATCTGACACACAGACTACTGAATGGCAGTCCTCATGCCTGTACTATGTAACTAAAAGGGGACCACCAGAAAATTCATTTGACACTTCTGAGTTTTGCCTCACATTTCCCCCAAAATTCTGGCGGCACTAAGAGGAGACCTGATCTGCTCAATGTCAGTTCATGTGTTACTAAAATTCTCTCATTTATTTTCAATGAAAATTAGTTGTTTTGCTCCTGAGCTGAACCACAGAATGAGTAGAGTTGGGTTGCTTAGTAGAGTGTAGCAAAGCTGATGAGCAGGTGAGACTGGAGTAAGTGGATTGAGATTCTTAGCTCCTGTCCTGTGGCTGTAGCCATTACCAGTGAACTCAGGGGTTGATTAGTGTGGGGAGGAGGGTGGAAGTCAGTGTTTCCTTCCACGGAGACATGAACCATTCTGTGTAGCATACGTGAGCTACAGAGTAACATCTGGCTACAGAGCACAGTCTGAATAAATATCTATATTATTTTACCTCACTCATACAATAATGAAAAGATTCAAGAACAGTAAAATTGCTGATATTTCAATCCATGACAGGGCTATTTAAAATACGAATGTTATAATAAACAATTGCCTGTTCATTTATCCAATAGAGTAAGCATTTTTTTTGAACTTACTGTTATATTTAGTCTATTCTTCTTTTTTGGAAGATGAAAAAAACAGGGAGAAAAGGGACAAAAAAATACTTGGGGGCCAGGGAGATGGCTCAGTGAAATAAGTGCTTCCCAGGCAAGCGCAAGGGTCTGAGTTCTGAGTTCAATCCC